GATTAAAACGAAGAAAGAAACTGAGCCGGAGGATTTTTTTTTTCTTTCTATTCATGCATCCTTAGGTGGTTGTTATTTTATGATTCATTTAGAAATTATCTTTGAAAATGTCATTAGATACATCATTTTCTAATTTTTTTTAAGCACATCAAAAGCAATTAAACCATAAAGTCAAAGTCAAAACCCATTGGAGGTCAATATTCTGATTTCGAAAGAAAAAAAAAACATAGTTTTTTTTTTCGAGATTTGTATTTTATTCTTGATTTTAAAAAAAATTAAAAAGTTTGTGTCCACCGCAATATATAATTAACATCTTTATATACATCTGAAATGAATCAATTGACTGTGATAGTACACGCAGCCCATTGGCAGCCTTTCTTTATTGGATGGTATAGTTGGTATAGTATGGTTGATGTAAATATTACACAGTCACCAGAAAAAAAAATCTCTTATAACTTATAAGCAGTTGAACGGATTTTCATTTTGTAACGTGTTATATAGCAAAATCTTAGAGGAATTTCTAAAATTATACCTATAACAGTTTACTGTAACAGCGGTGGAATATGCCTATTTGGACACAAAAAAAAGAAGAAGAAAGCACTTTTTCTGAAGTAACGTATAATTTTATTTTATTGCATTCGGTTTAGCTCGCAAAAATAACCTCAAATATCAAATTTCACAAAATTCGGACAATTAAAGGGCCTAGGGGCCGTTCAAAAAGTACGTACATCCCGAAGGGGGGGGAGGGGTTTCGCTATTTTGTACGGTTTTGTACGATGGGGAGGGGGGGTGGTATTATACAAAGTACGTACACTATAAGCATACACCAAATTTAAATTTGACTTTTTCCTACACACTCCTTAAATGAATATTTAATTTTATTTAAAACAGAATTATTTTAATTTTTATGAAAAAGGGGGGTAGACTAATAAAATGTACGTACTCTAAGGGGGGGAGGAGTAAGACCATATGTACGGTAACGTACGAAGGGGGGGGAGGGGTTTAAAATTTCTCCATTTTTGTGTACGTACTTTTTGAACGGCCCCCTACGCAGACAAATGAAGAGAGAATTGGCGTAAAAAAATGGAATGTCGCCAATATTATTCACGTGATCAAAAGTCGCTTGTGAATCGTGCTGCCTGTAGGTAATTCATTGCGTAAATTTACTTCGTTCAGTGAAGTAAATGTGACCCCAAATTTAAAGAAATAAATAAAAAGCGGTAGCAAGATATTCTAAGTTATTCATTGCGTAAATTTGTCAACTCCAACGGGTAAATAAATCTGACCCCAAATTAATAAAATAAATAAATAGTGATAGCAAGAATTTTTACGTTATTCATTACGGAATACTATCGATTCACGCTATGAAGTAAATCTAACCCCAGATTAATAACATAAATAAAAAAAGTGGTAAGATTTCTTTCCTTTAAAAAAAAAAAAAAAAAAAAACTGGAAAAAAGTTTTTTTTTCTGCTGTCTGAATTTAAATGGGCGGAACAATTTTGCCTTACAATTTACATAACATTTAATTCCCTAGATAATTCTTAGATTTAAATATGTTCTTTTAAATCGTACGAATTAAAAATTGATTATTGAAATTTTTTTTCTGTTAAGAAAATTGCTCTCATAAACAGAAATTAAACGATACATAAGCGGAGAGATACACCAGAAGTTTTTTTAAATTTTTTTCGGTTTTAGGAAGTTTGTTATTGTTTATATTCAGTCAGCCATTCATATGTGTTGTAAAAAAAATTACGTTTGGCTTTGTTAGTAAAGTAATTTTTGTTTTTGAATCAAGGCGATATCTCTTACACAATATTTAGCGCACACAATCTGTGTAGAAAGCTGAAAGTTGAGACAAAATTATGATTATAAAAGAAAATATATTGTCTTGAATTATGTGCTTTCAAAATGTCTTAAAAAACTAGGTTTATAAATTATGCAATTGTTAATCACAAGTACAGTATTATAACATTTTTAATATCTACAGGTACTAACTATAAAACAAGGTCAAATTAATAAAATTAAAGAAATATTTTTGCGTAGGTTTTTTTTGTTGTTGTGTAGGCTCATAATATAAACATTGGTTAAGTATCATTGATGTTTTTCAAGGGCGCAATTTTGTTATTTCAATTTCCCAATATTTAACCCACACGTTATTCCAGAAAAATAAAAGTATGCCTTAAGTCTCTTATTTATTTATTATTTCAATATCAATTTAAAAATTAATTTAAAAATTTTATCTATTTTGTATTTTCTTTTGTTATTAGTGTAATAAATTAAATTAAAGCAAGTTAAATTGTAGGTCAATGTTTTTTTTTGACGTATGCAAGAGAACTTGTTATTTGATGATAACATTAACAGATTTGTGCAATTAAAGCTTTTAGAAATGGTGCCATTTCTACCTATTAGTGAGGTGACAGCATNGCAATACTTTTAGATATAAGTTTTATTTACTGCGCATGAGCTGCAAGTAAATTGAACTCATAATATAAGTTACAAATATATAGAAAACATGGAAAATCATAAAGATTAGTGAAAAGTGAAGAAAAAAATTATTCAAATAAATTATTTTTAAAAAATATTTTAAAAAAAACATTAAAAAATATATTTAAAAGCCAGAAAAAAAATTTCTTAATTATTCTTTGCTTTCTGACTTTTTAATATATGTATTTTTAATTTTATTAAAATATTTTATTTTAATAATTTTTCTTCTTCTCTTTTCATTAATTTTTATTTTTTTCTATGTTTTCTCTATATTCTTTTTTCTAACTTATATATATATACTCGATGCAAATTTTTCTCGGGCAAAATAAAACCATTTTTAGAAGCTTCGAGTATATTCTTTCAAATTGTGCGGACAGGTTTCCATGTAAAATATTCCAAAACATATGCTTATGAAAGAAAGATTGTCTGCATAGAGTTATTTTAGAAGTGTTTCTATAATTCGTGATTAGAAGTGTTTTCATAATTGGGTCGGTGACCAATTTGATCAGCCAGCTTAGGGACTGAAGGGGCACAGTATCGGTCCTCGTTAAACTGTTCTACCGACCTTTGTAGCAGGTCTTTGGATTATCAAAGCAAAGGATCTATTCTCACTGCAGACAAGGGATTAAAATTTTTGGGAGGGGGAAATTTCTATTTTGCCGAATGAAATTTTGAATTTGACAAAGCCATGAATAAGCTTCTGCAATTATCCTTAAATATATAATAAAGAAGCAGCAGCAAACATATAATAAAGAACCTTAAAAAAAGCATTAGTTATAACGCTACCAATCGAAAATACTTCTTAAAAAAGTGCAAGTGTTGGCAGGTACGAAATAATTAAGATAAGTGTACTGCGCTGTGTACAATATAATATCAATAAACAAGTCTTTTTTTAAAGTGTAATATATAATAAGACCGAGATTACTAAGAGCTAAGAAAATCGATTTACTATAACTAAAATCAAATTATTATGGTGGTAAAGCCAATAGAACTTTTAACAATTTCAATTATTTATAATTCGAAAAACGAACAGTGCGATATTTATTTCACCTATGTGATTGAATATTGAATAAAAGAAATACATTTATACATTTATACATAAATACATTTATACATTTATTAAAGAATACATTTATTTGTCAAATTCGATTAAGTGAAACAAAAAACCGTAATTTTTAAAAAATAGAGTAGGATGTAATTCCTTTGCTTCAATAAAAAAATAAAATCTTATTTTCGCTAACATTTTTGCAACATATTAGTTTTTTTCAACTAGTATATTACTAATTTAACGATTTAAATAAATTAATTCGCAGCTAAGATAAAGATTTAATTTTTCACTGCATAAATAATTTGGTAATCGGAAAATCTTGACAAATACCCAATAGAGAGAGTATATATATATTTTTTATCCTCTTTTATTATAAAATTGTAAAACATTATAATTTTATCGTGAATAATTTTGATCTAAGAAACAGTCAATGACAACTATTGAGCCTTGATGGCTCGAGGATAAAGCTGTCATCTTTCAATGAAGTGAACTGGGTTCGAATCTCAGCGATGGCTGGTCGATACGAATTCCGCATCGAGCTGGCACCGACCACAGTGCTGACGTAAAATCTCCTCAGTGGTAGACGGATCGTGGGTTAGAGTTCCCTTGCCGTTAAGCTAACAGTGGGAACTTTTCATGCATTTCCTCTTCATGTAATTCAAAGGCATCTTAGTTCCATCAAAATGCCTTCCACGAAGGCAAATTTCTCCCTATACTTGATCCAAGAGTTCCCCCGTCTTCTGACTGGGGTTCAAAATTATTATGTAACGGAGTTGAACATTAGTGGTGTAAATCTAAAGATTGGGTCTGCTATTCAACGACGGATATAAAATAAAGGATAGAGAATAAGAAAAGCGTTACGATTCATTCTTAACATGATTTAAATTAATCTTAACATGAAAAATATAAGGAAAATACAGGAGTATCAGCGATGGGTCACTTCAGAGCTTGCTAAGTTCTAAACATTCAAATAGAATAAAATTTGTAAAATTTGGTTGCATGATATTTTGTATCGAATTTCATAGATTGAAACTTTAGTTGAAAACAACTAAAGAGACTAAATTATATTATAAATACAAATTAGAGTAATTATAAAAGCCTTGTTACGAACAATACAATCTATTCAAAATAGACTTGTTAAATGAACCTGTAAATAAAATGCTTAACCAAAGAAATTTAAAATATGATACAATAAATATGTTAGTACTCATGAAAGAGAATATCACGAAATTTTACGAAGCTCTGATCAGGCTGATAAGAACAAGCTAATATCCTCTAATATTAATAACTGAGAAAAAAATATAAATTTAAAAAAATTATGTATCCTTTGCCACGATTAATTAAACTTTTCGCAAAATTTTTAACTGAAAAACGAAAAAAAAAACTTTAACAACGGAGCACGATTCTACGGCTGTTTATTTATCTGTGCGATAAAATATTGACGAATTAGGATAATCTCTACTTTGACTGAAATAGGCGGCTGAAAACGCCTCAATGATGTCAATTTATTAAACGTGGTTTTTGTTCTATTCGTATTTTGAACTAAACAAACTCACGTTTTATGTGATAGATACTACAATGCTTTTAAATTAATATTATATTCTGATAAAATTAATATGGCATTAATTGGAGACGGATCTCGTGGACGACTGGGTGCTTTAGGGTTATTATCTAATTGTGTTTATTTATGTTTTCAACTTTTTCTTGAAAAGTTTGATTTCATATGTAATGTACAAAATAATACCTACTTTTCTCTATTTTTTTATATTTTAAACTATTGAAGTTTCTTGATTGTTAAAGTCTATCCTTGTCATGTGTAATGTAAAAAAAAGAATAACAAAATTTTTCGTATTCTAAAGTTTTATTTATAAAGTTCCTGATGAAAAACAATTAGAAAATGCTTTATTTCCCTCTTGTAAAATTGTTGGTATTGTAATAATACAATTTTATCTTTAGTTGAACAATTAAGTTCGTTTTTGTTGAAGCATTTTTATAAAAAGGGGAAATTGAGATATTTTTAAATGTGCCAAAAATAATTATGTACCATTCGAATTCCATAAACGTGATAAATTAACTCCAGTTCGTACTGTTTTTATTAACAGATAGTGGGCCGTATAGTGGGATCGTATGAAAATAAATTTTCAATATCGTGGAAATGTATAAAAAATGTCACTGATTTTGATATGTAAGTAGCTTGATTCTATAATTTTTTTAGAAATTTCTATCACATGGTGCGTAGCATTTTTAAAAAGCGCTTAAAGGTGCTTATTATTGATTTTCGTTTTTTAAAAGCCCTTAAAGGTGCTTTTTTCATGGCGTGTTTTTAAAAAGTGCATAATTTTTCCTTTTTCGAAAATGAGATTTTTTTCTTTACTGTGTCGATTTCCGGTGCATATTATGTAAAAGCGTGGTTTTCATTTTGTTTTATTAAACTTCTTCACAAATCATTCAACCACAATCCATTTCGGCATACCGTCAGCCTGCAACGTATGATAGCATCCCAATCATGTTACATGTTTGATGAAATATTTGCGAGTCCGTATGAGCTTTTACTGAGCTGGGTTCGGTGAGATTCTTGCACTCTCATGTGCAACTCTGCTGCATTTTGCAAGATATTCTCAACTTCAGACTTCATTTTCCACCTTCTGAAATCGAATCGAAAAATCTCGATCTTTTTTATTGTGGCTAAATCAAAAAAAGAATTCTTTGTCAGAAACTAGTTACTTTATCATGATCATGTAAAGTCTTTGAAAAGTATTCTGCATTTTGGTAATGCATATAGTGCATAAAGATATTTTTGAGTGCTTAAAAAGTACTTTAAAGGTGCTTATTTTCTGTTGAGATATTTGGCTACGCACCTGTATCACGTTTAAGTCAGCCGAGCGGAAGTGAGAGAATATTCCCAAATCATAATCTGTTCTTTCTGGCGTCAAGCTAGTTTTCTACTTGCAAATATAAAAAAAAAAAAATGCATGTAAAGGTTTGTCTGGGAAAGGCTATGAGTTATACCCTAGTTGTTGGACCCTTTCTGTGATATTATTTTTTAGTTTCTCTCGCAACGCTGTTGGAAGTTGACAAGGTTTCAATTATTCTGTTTCAGATCACGATATGGAAATCTTCCTTTCCTAAAAGCGAAAAAAAGTCACACAAAAATGTAGACCTTTGCCAACTTTTTCTTTTCTGACATTCCTTTATAATTTTATATTATTATATTTATGCTGTTCATTTGTCTTTTCCATTTCTTTTCATCATTCCATGAGTTTTAATTATTCTTAAATTGAAAAAATATTTTGATTGAAATATCTCCCTCTCATTTGTATTAAAATTTGTATTGATTCAATAAATAAGAAACAAATGCTTATTTTAGGACAGCTAATTTAAATTGCTGCTATAAATTGTATTCTGCTAAATAATGACATTAATGTAAAGATTGTTGAATTATGACATTTTAATATATACTAACAATTAAAGAGGTAAGTTAACTTTTACAAGCATGCATATTTAAGATCTTTAGTTATTATACTTTCGTATCATATTCACATATTTATGAACAAAAGTTTTTGTAGTATTTTAAGAATGAGTAAAGTTTTTTAGTATTCTTCATTAAAATATTAATCAATACTCTTTGATGGTTTCATTACTTTTGATTTGGGGCTTAACATCTCATTTTTGCTATTGTTTTAAATAAACTAAAATAACCTACTTTGAACCAAAACACTGTTTTTTTTTACTTCCCAGATTGCTTGGACAAATTGCATTTTGGCTAGATGATTTGACTCAGAATGGCCCATAATAGAATGTCTTGTATTTTTAGGAATCTAGAACGTTCGCTGCCTACGATTCGAACACCGAGCCCATACCTTTTCGACGACGAACACTCGATAATGACTGGCCGACAAGATATATCACCAGTTGTTTCTGTTAAAGCTGAAAATATTCAAAAAGATCTACAATCATATCAGGTATTATAATTATTTATTCATTTTATCAGATCTTATTTATCTCATTTATACCCAAGGGAAGCTTATTATAATATATTCGATTTTCGTTATAGTGATCATTGTTAGTTCAAACAAAAATGGGCATTATAACGTGAGGTCGCTAAATCATATGCAGGGGTCTGTCCAGGGTATATTTACTACCGTTTAACGGTCCCTTCACAAATTACACTCAACTTTAGGAAATACAGTTTCACAAAATACTTTTAATAAAACAATTTCTCATGCAAACCCTGTTCTCGTTGCAATCTTGGGAAAAGAGGAGCTGCTTTGCTAGATATCTTTTGCGAAAAGGTAGCACATGTTAAGTCAGAAAGTGCAATGTGGTAAACCTAACCGGTTGCTCATGCCATATCAAATCGAGTTTTTTTTTTAGCTGAGTTTTTTAAAATGGAGCAATGAGAGCCTCCCTCTGTAAACTTTACAGGGAGTTAAAATTGGAACATTATTTTAAACATTTGAGCATTATCTTAAGCACTTTTGTGAAATTATTCTAAGAGACCTTTATTTTTAATGGAAATTTTTTTTTTCTGTATGACCTAGTCGAAAATGTTCTCATAATAAAAATAATTTTTAGTGCTAGTACTGTTAAAGGCATGTTTTTATTAAATTCAGGTTAAAATTTAAGTATGGACAATAAATTTTATGGAATTTTAAATTTGGATGCAATTTTACAATAGCAAAATTATCTTTTTTATATGGGGAAAAATATACAGAAATTTACCTGTCATTTTTATTTGAAGTGACAATTTTTGAAAATATATTTTTACTTGACCATATTTTTGTGTTGATTTTTTAATATAATTTTTAATTTTCACAAAATAGGTACTTCTCAAAAAAAACTTAGACAGACCTTTGATATGTTTATACATAATTTTAGTTAAATTTTAATTTTACTACCATTGGGGAAAATCACCTTCAGCATGATTAAAAGGAGGCAGTTATGCTATATAGATATTTTTCTTGTGAAAAAAGCAGCTTTTAAAAAATTGGTCGCATTTCCCTAAAAAGTCTTTTTTTTAGAAAAATTTGGTCTTCGAGTCCCTTTTTTTAAAGTTTAAAGTTGCTAAACACCCTGTATAATGAAAGGGTTATACTTCTTATTAAGGAGCGTGGACTGTGTTATTATTTAATATTAATTTTCCTCAAATGTAAAAATGTTTTTAAGATGATGAAAATTTTACACATTTAACAATTTAATTGTTTAATTTTTTTTCTAGAAGATTTCTTTTACAGGTTGCTAATTTGTGAGACAGTGTTAGTTTTAAAATTTGTTTGCAAAGAAAGTATACGCCTGTAAAATTTCCTATTGAGAGAAATTCAAACTTGAATTAAAGAGCATGATAGAAAACATTTGGGATAAAACTTAATTGCAATAGTGACCTCTGGGTCAAGATATGACCCCTCAAAGTTGTAATAAATTTTTTATTATACGTCTAATTAAGTTTTTATTAAAAAAAAACTAAGGTTGGTGTGTTTTTGTTGCCAAAGGGTTTTGACTTCCTATTCAAATCTGTAAGGCCTACTCCTGATAATGACAGTATTTAACATTTCAGCATTAGTTTGAATTTTTATAGGAACATTTAAAATTTTCTTTTTCTGTTATGAATATTTGTTAAATACTTTCATAAGTCAGTTAATATAAAAGTAAAAAGTTTTAACTTGGCTGTAACAATATTTTTTTAAAAAAAATTTAAATATTAAGAAATAAGAGATTGAATATTGTCCTTAGTTTCAAAAGAACTGTCATCCTCTCAGCTATGAGTCAGATGTCTTACCCATTCGACCACGAATGCAGATTCTTCAAGTGGTCAAATCTTGACTCCACAGTTACTCCATGTTCTTCAATTTTAGCTTTGTTTCATTCTAATAAAGATTTTACAGATGCATACTATCTTTGTTAAAAGTGTTAGAGGATTTTTAAAGAAGAACAAACTTATCATTTAATATTGAACGTGTAATAAAATCTGACATTTCTGGTTCGCTTCACAGACAACATTAAAACTTAAGTTATCCAACTCTTCTTTTATTTTTTTAAGAAACTAAAAATGTAGCAATTTTTTTAAAATAATTTAATGTGTTTTTCAAGAAACAAATTAATCTCAGACATTTCTTACTTGGATTACACAAGTTCTTCATAAAAGTCATAATTTGGTAAGCATACATTAATGTGAATTTTATTATTTTTAGGGACGAGATGATATGACACGTAGACAAGAGCTTATTAAACAAACAAAAAGAGCAGCAATTTCGCAGAAGCAGCCTCGTCCTCCATTGGAACTATATCGCCCGCCAAGTATGTCTTTTATAAGACTGTGAAAGAATGTTCTTAATATGCGCCCAAAAAAATCTGTGGAATTTTTTTTAATAATTTTAATTTTTGCTTACTTGTATAAATAATATTTTCTAGTGCTTTTTGCATGTTTTTTTTTTTAAATTTATTTTTTTATAATTAATGTTATAAATTGTTTTGGGCACAATTTTGGAGACTTTCAGGATTAAACCGAGAATCGAAAGTTAAAGTGAAAGTTAAGTTAATGGAAAGTCAATGCAATTTCACTGAAGCAGATAATATAACTTGTGTTGAATGAGCCGAAACTACGAAACAAATGTTAGTTTGAAATGCATAGCTGCCAACAACTACGGATTCCTTGTAGCATTTCATGATTAGATTTAAAATGGTTATGAATCTTAAAATTATTGAATCTAAAAATTATTGAATCTAAAAATTATTGAATCTAAAAATTATTGAATCTATAATTATTTACTACAATGTTGAAATCTCTGAAGCAATCCAAAATTGAAAATATTTTGTTGTTTATTCTAGTACTCATAATACTTCCAGTTCTTACCCTCTGTAAGTAAAATATTTTTAAGTGTCTGTTTTTGTGTTTAAAAGTAATTTGCATCAAAAAATATTTTAAAATATTTAAATTTTGGTCTGTTTCAGATATTAATTGCTATTTTTTGTAGGTAAGTTAAATGATATGTGAAATTATCTATATAACACAAAATTCAATATGACACATTGCCTCACGCTTTAAGATTCCCGTTATAAATATCTATTGTATTATCGATATTTTATGTTATAAGAAACTCATATTAATGTTATTCAAACGAAGTCAGATTTTTTTTCGAATATATAATGACTACTATTTTAAAAAGTAATGTGTATCAACGCTCGTCATGCTTCAAATAAATACTACTAATTCAAATGGTTTGAAATTTCGTATGCTGGTTCATACTTTTATTAAACTTATTACAGTTAAATTCTTTATTGTAATTTTATTTTTTGTCGAATAACATTGTTGTATACTATTTATGAATAGAATATCATCAGGGCTCAAAGTTGTCCTTAAATTCCTTAATATCCTTTAAGAAAAAAAAGAAAACAAACTAAAATGTCCTTAATTGTTAAAAATTTCAATATGTGTCCTGGAATTTTTAAGATTTTTCCAAGTTTTTGTTGAAGTTAACAGGAAGAAAAAATATTATTTATCTAGAAAATAATTGAAGAAATTTCAAAATCAAAAATTATGTTACATGCCATGAAACAAGGTAAATAACAAAAGGAACGACAAAGTCTTCATAACCTGTCAAGTACGACATTAATCTACTTCAAGTATTAGAAGAGACAATTACCCTTGATTTGATATGGGAGAAATAATATAAAATGTTCTTATCTCTGTTCTCTCTCCTCATCACTATATCATACTCTACTGTTTTTATAAAGCTAATCCTCATATTTTGTTACTATTTACGATTTTCCATATTTAGGCTATTTTCTCTTCTTTTTATGTACATATATAAAAAAATTTGAGTGTTTTTTTAAAAATGTTTCTTTTTCAACTAAAGTGCAGACTACCAAACTTATTACCAATTGTATACCTGCGAATCCATGTTAGTATTACAAATTGTGCCAATTAGAGAATCAGCATTGTTAAATTGTCCTTAATTTTAGAGACAAATTTTGTCCTTAATTCTTATATTTTGGACTTCCAGTCCTGTATCAATATCTATCTATATCAGAGTTGGCAAGGTTTAGAACAGTGGATTAATCCACAATTTAAACCGTCATGTCCAAAACTGTCGAAAACCCTTTAATTCAAATTATGTCTCAATTTTTAAAAAATATTGTGAAAAATAAAAGGTTAATTTTTGAACAAGAAACAAAATGAAGACAAGTTTTTGTTTTATTAAAAAAGTTAATTATTATTTTTAATATTGCATTATTTATCCTTACGCAAAGCATAATTTATCAGTATTAAAAGCATATTTATTCATATTTAAAGGATTAGGTGTTCACATATGTTGTTCAATGATGTGTGGAGCTTCATAAGTTAAAAATCTTTTCCCTTTACATTATGCTATTTTCCTTTTAATAAGTTAAAACAAGCTGTATAAAAAGTATCAAATATTTAATAATCTATGTAATTATNTAAAGGATTAGGTATTCACTTATGTTGTTCAATGATGTGTGGAGCTTCAAAAGTTAAAAATCTTTTCCCTTTACATTATGCTATTTTCCTTTTAATAAGTTAAAACAAGTTGTATAAAAAGTATCAAATATTTATTAATCTATGTAATTATTATGTGTACAATGGTTACACATATAGAATTTTTACCTTTTACCAATTTACTCAAGGTTCAATGTTTTGGACAGTTTTAGACAGTAAAACCCAGGTGTACTGTCCAAAACCTGTTAAGGACGTTCAAAACCTCAATGAAAAAACAAAACATATTTTCCAATTTTAAAAAAGGAAAATATTTCCCTCTAGAATACTTTCTAAACTTTGTTAATAATTTGTCTAAAATTGCTGATGTTTTTTAATTAGAAATCGTGCAGAAGAATGGAACAAAAGTACATTTTGCTGATGATAATCAATTGAAGAGAAGTCCTCCGCCATCTATGACTGCCCTTCCACTAGAACTTAAAAGTGCCTTAAAACGATCAAAAAGTTTCACTGCTGATGAATCCAGGGAACTTGAGAAGACTGGATTTCACAGGGAAGCTTTTCCTCTAGAATACCAGGGTCTTATAAGACAAGCAGTGCTTGGTAATTACTTTTTTTTAATGATTTATTAATTCTTCTTGATTTTATTTTGATCAGTTTTAATTTTTAAAGTGATACTTCTTATATGAACATATCTGCCAACTCTACTGGATTTTGACAGTTTTTACTGGTTTAATAAAAATTTTCCTGGTTTTTGTACATTTATATAAATGTTTTTCGTATTGATTTTCATTTCAATGAATTTGAAATAATTATTTTCAGATCCGAATTCTTTATCATATCAGAAACTTATGGAATTAGTTCGCTTGATTTGTAGTAAAGCAGTTGAAAGTCTTCAGTTTTCCGCTCCAGCAGCTCAACTTTGTTTCTCTATAATTGAAGTAGGTTCTTATTAACTGCATTGTTCAAACAATTGTTCATTTTATAATGGAGCTGTAATTTTTAACAATCTTTATGTATTTTTAATAATCTATATGTTAATAATACTTAAATATATTATTAATTTGTAGTTAGTACTTTATGGTATTTGAATTTTTTTGCGGGCTATTAATAGTATAATAAAGCCAACTAATTTCTGTGTGTGTGTGTATATATAGCACATTAAAGACAAAAAGGATACAAAGAAAAATGAAAAAAATTAATATGTTCTTATTTACTGCGCATAAGCTGCAAGTATATAGAACTCATAAAATAAGTTAAAAATTTATTTTTTTGTTTCCAGCTTTTTAATATATATTCTTTAAATTTTTTTAAAATAAAATGTTTTAATAATTTTTCTTCTTCTCGTTTCATTAATCTTTGATATTTTCCATGTTTTCTCTATATTTTTTGTTAGACAAATAATAGGAGTTAAAAGGTATGAGGTTCGATTTTCCGTCGTCGATCTCATGCANATAAATTTTTTGTTGTTGTTTTTAATCATTAGTTTTGATGGTTATTTATAATTGCTAATAAGTTTTTTGAATACAATGAATGCACTTTTTCGCCAAAGATTCCAATAAATAATTATGAGTAACAGCCAACTGACAGTGTTTAATTAAAGACAATGTTTAATTAAAGTACTAGTTTGCTAATCTATTGAATTATATTAGCTTGACATTTTATTAACTAACCATTTTACTTAGTTTGTGTAATAAATAGCTGTTATGGACACAGATCAATTTGACATTAACTGTGACAGTTATACTGTATTGCACAAATAATTTAAATTTTATCAGGTCATTTAGGAATTCAAAGTTTTCTTGAATAGAGTTATAGTATTGCCTTATTTCTTAATAGTTAATATACTATCTGCATAAAAGTAATTCAGTATTTACTTCCAATATGTAGTTATATTTACTATGAATGATTGTGAAGTTTTTTTTAAAATTTACCTCTAGGGAGTGATCCGTACTTAATTTCATAGAAATTTAAATTTCCGTATTAAGATCCAAATTTAAATTTATAGAAATAATTCATTTCAAAATTTAAATTCATAGAAACTGTTCTTTCACCAAGATTTATTTTAGAAATGTCTAAAAAAGTTTTATTTAGAGTAGTATTTTTGATTCTTTATCAAATTATTGCCTTTATTTTAAATACATAAAATATGGATTTTGCTGGAATTTAATTTCATTTTTCCTAAAAGCCTCCTATTATAAAACCAAGATCTACCTCTGGCTTATGAATAATTTATTTGTTATTAATAATTATTAGTATTTATTTTAAATATATTCTTGTATTCATTTTGAATGTTAACTTTTTTTCCTTTCTAATTGCTTCTTGGAAAAAATACAGAGGTATGTGTGAAGTTTTTTTCTCTCCTAAATCATTTATACATATTATGCAAACATTTTTAATAATTTAATTAAAAATAAAAAGTCTTAATTTAAAAAAAAGAAAAAATTTGATTTAGTATGTTTCTATTTTTTGGTACTGGATTATAATTTTAAGTTAGCATATAACCGTGAAGAACTAGAGGCCTATTGTACATAATCCACTCGTGACAACTATATCACTTATGACTTTCCAACATAAAGCATAAGAAGGTTTTAAAGAGGCACTAGACAGTAACAAAGATAATATAATTCATTTAACAAATGTAAAAATTTCAAGCTAAGCTAAGTTCTAAAGGCATAACAAAATACATTAATTCCATGAAATCAGTACATGGTATCCACAAGCAAGAAGAGGGCAAATAACACATTTTGTGTCGTACTTAAATTATTAGTCTAATTATTTCAGAAACGTGTCCACTTCCGCAGGAATTTTGATGTGAACTGATTGCCATTTGATTTGCTGATGTGAATCTGTCGAGTCTCAATGTCCTGTATGTTCCCATGACCAATCATACCTCTTGGGGTACTGATCCAGGAGTTTCCTTGTCTTCTGGATTGGTTCAAAATTACAAGACTACGAAGTAGAGCATTAGTAGTCGAAAACTCCAAAATTGGGTTGTCTGTTCAAAGATGGTTATAAAATATAAAATCAACCTTCTGTGCCATCAACAAGGTTCCAAGTTGCTGCATACACCTTTATGTTATTAATAATATCATTACCATTATTAAACAGCCGACCCAATTTATAGTTTACGGCTACCAATGTTCAACTCTGTAGCATTGTAATTTTGAACCTAATCCAGAAGACAAGGAAACTCCTAGATCAAGTATTGGGAGACGTTTGTCTGGAGGGCTTTTTCATGGAACTGACCCGCATTTGCATTACAGGGAGAGGAAAACCTCCCATGGTCAGCCTGGGGGCAGACTTTAATCCATGATCTACCTCTGCACCTGCTTCATCTCATTGTGAGGCGAGTGCTTTATCCCCTGAGCTAAGACCTCTCGCCAGGCACTTTTAGACACTCGACACACCAGGTAGTCGACAGATTTAACATGCATCAGATTAACATGCTTTTTGCAACAGATCTCACTATTTCAATTTAAATATACTTTTTTGAATGTTGTTTAGATAGTAAATAATTTCATATCTTGATTGTAATGTAGTTTTTTCTCTCTTGTTGTACGTAGAAGGAACACGATCACACGTTTTTAGAAAGCCTTCAAAACTGCTGCCGGGAATGGTACAATGAGCGAGATAAACTGTTGCGCTCTTCCTTCCTCACTCCTGTAGGCACCACCGTTTCTGGACTACGTCGCTGGACAGCTTACGTGTCGTTTCTTATCGAGCTTTACCGCCATGTCAAAAATCAACATTGCCAAATTATACAGCCTTCTGGTGGCAACCAGGTCATTGGTCCTCATCCTAATTCGCCAATGGGACATTTAGCTTTGACACTTCAAACACTTCTTTATGATTGTGCTAACATCATATTAAAGCCTCCATCCCTCAATAGTGAAGGAGAAGTAAGATTTTTGATAGTACTCTTATAGATGATTTTGATTTTTTTTTTTGAAAAGATATTTTGTGAAATTCTTAGTTGGGAAACTCTTAGTGAGTTGGAAATTCAGATGTATAGTGCGTAAAATAAAAATACTTACTACTATAAGCACATGGTGTGTAGCGTTTTTAAAAAGTACTTGAAGGGTGCTTATTTTCGTTTTTTAAAAGTCCTTATATATACTCCTTTCATTGGGTGTATTATTTAAAAAGTTCTTAATTTTCCTTTTTTGAAAATGAGATTTTTTTTTTACCATGCAGGTTTTCGCTTCGTGTTATTTAAGAGTGTGCTTTTCACTTCAATATTTTCGCAATTCAATCAACCGCAATCCATTTCTGCCTACCGTTTGTCCATAGCGTATCAAAGTGCCAATAATTTTACATGTTTGATGAAGTACTTGCGAGTGCGCGTCTACTGAGCTGAGTTCGGTGAGATTCTAACACACTCATGTGCAACTCTGCTGCAGTTTGCAAGATATTCTCAATTGCAGGTTTAATTTTCCACTCTCTGAAATCGAACGGAAAAATATCTCGATATTTTTATGGTGGCTAATATAATCAAGAAAAAAGCTCTTTGTCTGAAACTAGTTATTTTATAATGATTATGTAAAGTGTTTGCAAATTATTTTGCATTTTGTTGATCTAAATAGTGCTTAAAAATATTTTTGAGTACTTAAAAGGTAATTAAAAGGTGCTTATTTTTTGTTGAAAGTTCTGGTTAGGTCCCCTGGAGTAACTTATGATTTAATGAGCAGATCTTCACGTTCTGGAACTCAATCTTAATGGTTCTAGGAGGTGACTTTAAATACGCTAATTACTTTTTGCAGGCACTATTTTAAATTGTGAAATCTGACTTAACATACCTTTGACTTACCTTTGACTTAACATACCTTTGTTCAAACTACTTACCTCTGAATAAACATACCTTTTTTTCCACGGATTTGGATTTATGCCCCTGAAATATAAGGGCTAGCCGCAATCTGGGGAATATCGTCTAAGTAGTTTGGACCACTTAATGTTAATTTTACTTTTATCCTATTTCACCATAATTTGAGAACTTTTTAAGTGGATTTAAAAATATATCCTTAAAGTTATAAAATTTCTTTCTCTAAAGATAATTTCATGCAAAATATAATTTTTAGTAAATATTTATTATTTTATAATTTATTTAATAATAATCAAAAATATATTGAATTGTAAGGCAGAAAATTTTTTACATCATTTTAAGGAATGTAATTTTAATGACAAAATACAAAATTTGAGCGAAATCGGTCAAATAGCTTGTGTATTTTTAAAATTCGATTAGTGTCAAATAGCTTGTGTATTTTTAAAATTCGATTTCTACTGTTCGCTCAAATGTTCTATTTTGCCATTTAAAATTTCATTCTTTAAAATGAAGTAAGAAAATTACAATTAAAAATGTTTTTGATTATTATAATGTAAAATAATAAAAGATAATAAATCCATACCAAAGTTATATTTTGCATGGAATTATCTTTCACCAAATGAATTTTATAATTGTGTGCAAAAAGCTTTCAATTCTCTTAAAAAGTTCTTGAGATATGGTTAAATACACAAAAAGTAAAATTAACATTAATGGGTTTAAATTTTGGACTGCTCTCCTTATCAAACTATGGAGACCATATTTCTCAGACATCAGCTACTTCCTATATTTAGGAGTCAGATGTCCGAATCAGTCAAAAAAAGGTATGTTTATTCAGAGAATTTTGTGTCTAATGTCGTAACTTAAATAATTGTCTGCACTAATTAATTATCATATTTGAGCTTAAGCCCTTGAACTATTAAGATTGAGTTCAAGAACATTAAGATCCGATCATTAGATCAAAAGTTATTTTGTGTGGTTCGTTGATTTTCTGCACACTGTATAACCCTGCTGTCTAGATGTACAAGGGTTGAACAAAATAATTGAAGCACTTCTATGCTGAAATATTTTTTTCATATTTATCAAGAAATATTTAGAGAATTAGTTTAAAACTTCAGAAGCATTTTAATCATGTGCTCGACGTGATAATTCTATTGTCTTTTTTATAAATTTTTCAGCAGTTATCATTAATGATTTTTGCATATTTTTTAAAATCTCTATATTTTTACTACAATATTATTCATTATAACTCATGAATCTTAAAATGTTCATTTCATTAACCTCTTTTTGATGCATCTGATTTGTGAGATTTCGTTGTAAATACATGCGATTTTACTATCAATCTTTTTTCAGCTTTTTTTTTTTAAAATTTTGCTGTGAAAAAGGAGAAATATGTAATTTTTTTCAATATATATATTCTATGTTGATAATTTTTTTTTTTAAATTTTATAAATATTACTTTTGTTTACGAAAATGACAATCTTTTGTTTATTTTCTACATACAAAAAGAAAAATTCAGATAATTTCTTCTACTTGCAATCACATGCCTGATATGTATACATATATATATATATATCTACATTTTTTCATGGTAGGTTTAGTCTTTAGTAACTTTTGTTAAAAGTTTTTTTTTTATGTTACGAAAAATTAACTCAATAAAATATTAATGCTTTATTTTTATAGAGATGTATCTTAAATATCATAAAAAGAATCTTAATTTTTAATACTTTCGTTTATTTGAATTCATTTTTGTAAACTTCTTTTATTGACACAATTGATGGACGTATAAGCAATCTACTTTGCTTCAAGTTGTTTCTAGATATTTACCAACAAAGTTTTTTTTTCCAAGTTATGACAACTGACCTTTAATGATTACATTTTAACAAATTTGATTCAATTGATAAGGACTATCCTTGTCCAAAATTTATTGTTATTTTGTAACATTTGATTGCTGATTCAGAGTTGAGTATTGGATTGTCATAGCTGCCAACTCTACTGGATTTTCCCAGTTTCTCCTGGTCAACTGGTTTAATTAAAATTCTCCTGGTTTTTGTATGAATTATTGCTTGAATATTTAAATTTTATTCAGAACTCTCTTTTTAAATAAATTTTAAAAAATCTTCTATCTTTGATGAATTAAATGCTTTCTATTTTGATAACTATGAAAATCCCTAAAATTCCCTTAAACATTTAGTACATTATACAACAATTAACATGAAATTTATATTATTTCGTAAAATCTACTGGATTTTTTCCTACCCATGTTGGCACTATGGATTGGAAATAATCCAGATTTTTTTTGTAACCGTGATTGGGAAATCCAAGGTTCAGAAGTTTGAAGAAATCATTGATCACATTTATGGATAAAAATTCTTGTATATTTCATTGAAAAGTATTAGAACTAGAATTTATGCTTGACATCTCTTTCATTTGTAAATATCTTTTTTCCTGTAGAATAATAAATGTGATTAGATATAAAGGTAAACTTATACATAATTATTCATTTAAATTATGCTGCATATAATTTATTTAAAATTTAATGTTTTGAATTTATGAAGACATTAATTTTTTTGAAATGCATTATTTATGATTTTACTAAAGAAATTTTCAGTATTTTTGAGTAGGGATCACAATCACCCCTGTGATCTAAAACTCAGTCTTCAATTGCTCTCAGAGTTTTCTTTCATATATTTTTATTGATGTAAATTTTTTTACAGATTGATATTCTCCGCCAAATGTTAAATATGGTTGGAAAACAGCTGGAAGTAGACTCACCGCAGCGTATGCAGCAGTTGGTTTCTAACCTGCGTGATGCATTCATTAGTCCGTCCATTAGTGCACAAATACGAAAGACACTGCTTGAAGTAATTGAGCTTCATGCTAGTAATTGGCAGCTGGATCTGCCCCAGACCATGTATTATTTTCCTTACACTAAATTGTCTTTTCACTAAAAAGAGTTTGTGTGTTTTGAGTGAGAATTCTTTTGTAGGAACAAAAGTTATTCCTATGAAGGAAAAAAAATGCTGTTTTTTCCCCCCTATTGTTTCTAAAGGAGAAACAAAGGAACAAAAATTGACTAAAGTATTTGTGATTAGTACTTAGATATGCCACTGAATATAGAATATTCGGGGTTGTCACTCCGCAAGGAAAACCTGGAAAATACTGGGAATTTAAAAATCACCTAAAATAACAGGAAAAATAAAGAGAATTTAAAAGTCATAACAGGGAATATAAATAATAACAGGGAATATAAAGATTTTAGATTTAGATTTGAATTTAGATTTTTTTTTTTCCTTTGCAAATTAGGAAAATACAGGGAAATTTGTTTCTTTTTTTCTCTAAGTTTTTCCGGCAATTGAAATTAATAAATATAGTTAGCCCAATATAACTCACACAAAAGCACAATAATTGTTTAGTTCCTCTTAATATATATTGTGTATAATATTTACAGGGAAAACACAGGTAATTTTTTTTTCAGATTTCAGTGGCAACTATGATATTGTACTTCTGGATAGTTTGCATTGTTCTTGAAAAAATTTTTTTAAATAATTTTTTTCTCTTTTTCTGTAAACAAATTTTTTGTTTAGGATGTTAATGTCTTAAGTTGTACTCCTACATTAGAGACTAAATTTTCAGATTCGTTAATTGTATAATTACCTGCTATCTGTCTATTCTTTATACCTTTTGTGAACAAACATTGCTGCGATTTTGAAATAATGTTAATGTTATTTCAAATGATTTATCAAATTCAAACTTTAATTTCTGATATATATTTTTACTGTCTTAAATTTTTAATATAATTTATACTAGGACAAAATAAGCATAATAGAAATGGGAACATATGTTGACTCTATAACAGTAAAACAATTAGTTTTGTTACCTAAACCTTCTTAGAATAGTTTTATTTTTGTTCCTTTGTTTCTCTCTTGGAAGTAGAGTTCTGATATTTTTCTTTTTGAAACATTTAAGTTCGTATTTCTTAATGTAGTGCTTTAATATCCAGTTTTTCTAGTGTAATGTGTTCTTGATATGTTGTATTATGTCTAATTTTAGTTAACTTATTTTCACACTTAGATTTTGTCTTAACAGCATTTATTTCTCAGTTTTCTTCGAATACTTTTTATTCATATCTTTATTAATTAATTTGAAAAGCAGTCATATTTTAACTGTGTTATTGGAAAACTTTTGAAGCTTTATAATTATTAGATTTTCTCAAAAGACATTCACAGAATATTTATCAAAGAAGTAGAATAAATCCTTTTTGTTTAATTACTGATATTTTTTAGTAAATTTATTAGAATTATTTTATTTTGTTTGATCAAAATAGAAATACATTCTTAGTTTTTTTTAGTTCTTTTCTGTTAATTATGCTCCGTAGGCTTATAAATGGCTCAAAGTTTTCCTGTTAACATGATTGAAAGTTTTTTTTATTTTTATCAATAGCATTGATGAAACTCTCTTTTAAATGGCTGAAACACATTATTTTTTTTTATTTATCTTAGAGAAATGTAGGAAAAAAAGAAATTTTATTGTTTATTTTTTATTAAAAGATTATGGTGAGCATATTTCACGAGTGAGAATTTATTATTATTATTATTATTTTTTTTTTGATTATTAACATTTATAGAAGATTTTCTTTTGTTCATATATGGTTAAATGTTTAACCTATTTTATTTATCTTTATGAAATGTTTTAGGAAAAAAATTATTGTATTTTTTTTATAAAAAGATTATGTTGAACATCTTATAAAAATGTGAAATATATTTAAAATGAATGTGGAAGAATTTTTTTTTTATTGAAAATTATTAACCAAGAAATTGTGATTTTTATAAAAAAAATTTATAAAAAATGTTTTTTGTAAGTAACTAGTCATGTAAAGAATGAGTGTTTAATTTTGCCATAACTGTGCCTTAAATTTAATCTAATGAAAAAGAAGTGGCTTGTTTTTGTATACAAGTGAGATAAAGCAGGCATTATTCTAACAATCTTAACAATTGCTTCCTTTTTTTAAGAAAATTTCAGTTTTTTTAAATTTTTTTTCTGCTTCCTTCTCAATTTAGAAGTTTAATAATAAAACATAAGTACGAAATATTATAACATTAATACCATAAAACATCTACCATGACTTTTGTCAATGATTAAAACTGTATTGTCATCTACAAAATGTTTTAATAATTCTTCTGTAACTATATTTATACCTCTAAATTCAATTTATTATAGTAATGCCAAGATTCTCGTTTTTATTTATAAGATATACTGTGAAATTTTAAGAGTTGTTTAATATCAAGCTGTTTACAATACTAGAGGCTATAAATTCTTGTATGACTAGTTATACAATTCTTATTTATTTGAAAAACTTTCTATTTTTAAATGAGGAATAATTGTATTGGTATTTTGTTTAATTGCATTTGATTTATTGAAATTTTTTATTTTATTATTGTAACATGAAACTACGAAAAAATAATAGTTGCTGCTTTTCTTCAAAATACTAATAATACGTTTATAAACTAATTTTATGGTGTATTTATAACTACTTTTTTTTTCATAACGTGTGTATATTGGTCATTGTGTTTGATATTTCATACAAACTTTCTGTGATACTGTATTTTGTTAGTTAGCTTTCAATTTATGATAAATTAGTTAATGGTTCATATAGGTATATTTCACTGTATATTTTGAAGCTTTTTCTGGGCAATAACATATTTTTTTTTGTTGTTGAATTGAGAGTTGTTTCATGTTGCATTTCTCCTATTAAGTGCTTACTAGATTATAATATGTGCCAATATCAATTCTGTTTTCTTTTTAAGGGTGATTGTGAATCAAGGAAATCCTAACATTCGCCGGATTTTGATATCTTAAACTAGAGACACACAGTTGAGATTTCAAAGTTTGATTATATTAGTTCAACTGGGAGTAAGTGTTCAGATTTTAATTTTTTGAGATATTGATTCTTTGAAATTTTAACTAGAGTTTTCTATAGTCAAAGAACCTTCTGGCCAAATGTAATTTGGGAACATGTTTCATTAGTTCAATAGTTTCAATAGTTTCATTATCTGGTGACTTGCAAAAACTGGTTTTGCAATGTAGTGAATTCAGCAAGTCAAAATGTTGCTTTTTCGCATGTGACTGAAAGATTGAAAAATTTACAAAAACTGGAATGTAGAGAATATTGCAAGTCAAAATATGACTATGGTTAAAAATAACGTAATCCGCATTAATGTAAAGGTCTTCTTTGGACAGAAAATGAATTATACTTGTTAGCTAACTGAAAATGTTATGAACGCGATTGCCTTAAGCTACTTTTAAATATTTTTACCTTCACTGAAATGTGTTTAATTCATAGCTGCAAACTTTACTGGATTTTTACAGTTTTTCCTACTCAACTGGTTTTTGTACATTTTAGAAAGCTCCCTAAAATTGAGTAAGTTTTACATATAATAAAGCTATCCTCATTTATAAAAATTTTTAACTGTTTAGTTTATAACTGTTTTTTTTTTTTAAATGTTCAGTTTATTTTCATTCAAAACTCCCTTTTTAAATTAAATAAAAAATATTTTAACTATCTTTGATGAATTAAATTGCTATTACTATTTAAAATTATAAGTTGACATAATACATACCATTTTAAGTTCATTTAATGTTAATCATAGGTGGATTGCAGTTTTTCCCTAAAATATTTAGCATATTATGCAACAGTTATCATGAAATTAATATTTTGTATAATCCACTGGATTTTTTCCTATCCATGTTGGCAGCTATGTGTATAGATGTAAAACTGTTTTGAAAAGGATCCTTAGAGTGGGGAATAAGTTTTTGTTAATTTGGTCTAAATTAGAAATGTAGAAGGAAAATAGGAAATTTTTGTTGAGGATTTCATTTGATAACACAATCACCTCTGATTTTTTTTGATGCTGGAAGTTCTAACTTGTATATCCAGGTCACTAGTAGTGTGCAATATTGTAAGTTTTGCAATATGGAAATATTAATTGCATTTTCTAGTCTTCCAAGATTTGTGAATAAAATACTTAATGTTAATGGAGCATTGTATTTTTTTCTTCTTCAAATGAGCTATCTGTATGGGTTTTTTCTATCTAGACGGACCTTGTTTTCTATTATGATATTGGTTCTCATAGTAAGTATGCTATTTTATTTTATAACCGTCGTTGAACAGCCGACCTAATTTCATGGGGTTACGACTACTAATGTTCAACTTCGTAGCCTTGTAATTTTGAACCCAATCCAGAAGACAAGGAAACTCCTGGATCAGTACCCCCAGAGGTATTGATTTGTTATGGGAACATGGAGGACTTTGAGACTCGACAGATTTAATGTGCATCAGTCACCATTTTCTACACGGGGAGTCTGCGGCCGGTGAAGATCGAACCCTCGGACATGGGATGCTGTTGGATTTAGGCTACACTAAAAATTTGAAGTTGCCTCTTCTGAAAAGGGATTTTATTTTCTCTGTGTTAACCTACCCAGAATTATCTGAACACAATTTCTCTATTCATTCAGTGACTTATAATTTAAATAGTAGAAAAAATATTAATAAGTAAAATTCAGTGCCTGCCATTAGAAAAAAAATAAGTGGTTTCAAAGTTCAAGTTTTAAAATTTGATTTTAAAGTTGTACTGAACACATTTAAGCGAAAGGAAATGATTTTTAAAAAAATAGTTATTACTCCACGTATCCTTGGTGGAATCGCATTGCTGATAAAGTGGTGAAAAGCTTTGATTCTGGGCTGCATAGCACTATCTGAAAACACTGCTTAGTAACTCTGTTTAACATTATAAGATCCATTGCTTTGCAATATATTCAGCAATGTAATAATTTATCTAGTTATGATCAAGTACTTTTTATGCAATTTTTCTAGGTTCAGGCCTGTGGCTTTCAAAGTGCACATTCATTTATCAAAGCTTAGCTTTCCATTTTTCTGTTCTATAATAATATGTTACCTTAACGTTACTTATTATTTTGAATGCAGCATTAATTCGTTTAACTGCACGTTCTGTTATCGTTCACTTGTTGTATCAGCTATTAGCAAAAGGTCAATTGACTATGAATAAAAATCCCAAAAAATTGCGATCAATCCAATTAAGTAGGCTTCATAATGTCATTGGGCTAGGATAGCCTAGTTGGTAGGGCACTTGGCTCATGTCTAAGAGGTCGTGGGTGGTAGTAAATGGTGACTGATGCACAGTAAATCTGTCGAGGCACAAAGTCCTCCATGATCCCACAATGAATCTTACCTTTGGGGGTACTGATCCAAGAGCTTACTTGTCTTCTGGATTGGTGCAAAATTACAATGCTACGGAGTTGGACTTATGTTGTCATGGACCCAAAAACTGGGTCGGCTGTTCAACGACAGAAATAAAATAGATTTCATTGTCATAGTCTTAATATGAAAGCTATAGTAGTAATCAATCACTTTTCAGAGCATCAGAAAACTAGATTCTAATAACATCAAAGAGAAGTAAATAAATTTAGCAATACACGAAATAAGATTGTCAAATTCGCAGATTTTAAATTTTAAAAACATAAAATATATTTTTAAAAATTACCCATTATTTTTCTGCCTTATGTAGGTTTAATTTCTAAATTATAATTTTTCCTTCATAATGATTAAATCAGACCTGAAATTATACAAAAATACGTGTATATATATAGTAATAAATACATTTTTATTTAAACACTTTTACTTTAGACACATGTGACCACTACTGATAGCTTAATAATCTTTTGTACATATTCACACAATATCACATTGAATTTACAGTATTTAACACAGATGTGGCATTTATAAATCTTTGGTTGACACAACAAATAAAAGGTGGATGTGGTACATTAATTTTCTCTCTTTCTTGGTACATCTTTTTTTTAAACGTAACTTATTTACATCAAAGCACAGTGAAAGTCACCACTGAGAACACATTCAGAATATTTGACACAGAACAATATTTGGTACATAAAATTCTACACTTTTTGGAACGAAAAAAAATCTAAACATTTAAATTTAAGCGTTGGTGGGATATTAGACTAGAAAGTCAATTTTACTAATAAAAATATAAAGCTTTAATGTTATAGAATTTATTTAGAAAAGTAGTCCGCATAAGTATTTAGTTTTTCTGATTAAAGTTTGAATGAGCCAGACTTGCAAAATTGAATACTTTTTGAGAAATATGTCTGCAGTCTTTTTTCTAATTTTGAATTTTTTTTCTTCTTTGCAACGTTCTAAGCAAAAGCCTCAGTGGACATAATTATCAGAAACCTAAAGTTTTTGAGATATTGAGCGCAATGTCGAACCAGGTTATAGCTTTAGATTTTTTGAGGGAAAAAAACAGCATTTGTAACTTTTTGGTTTTCTGGCTAACCTGATCCCACTTTTCTCTTTAATTTAAATTACAAATGGAGGTAAAAACAGAATTTATCATGAAAAGTTTTCCCACAATATAGCATTCAGTAGATGTCAGACTTTATAGATACATTTAAGTTTAAGGATTATTGTGTAGATTAGGAACGTTTAGTGATAAATATAGTTAAACAAAAATCACCTTTCATGAATCAAATTTTGTTGCAATTTTAATTATTTTGACGCACTACTGGGAGCCTTTTTTTTTCTCAATAAATCAGATTGATTGGTGAGTTTGTTTTGGTTGAACAAACTGAAGGATTTCAATTGTAAACGTTCGAGGAATTGGTCCCATTCAAAATACAAAATGTGGATATGCCTACATATTTAAAGTAAAAATAATAAAAGTAGTTTTTTATGAGAAAGAAACTCAAACCATGAATGTGAAAAAAGTTTCATAGTACAGTTACATAATAATATTAATAATAGTGATAAAATCAAAATGGTCACCACCTTATTTGTTTTCTTTTAAACAACTTCTTTTGGAAAACATATTTAAGGGCTGAGTTTATAGAACAGACAAGTGCATTCATACTAACCAGATACTTTAAATTTTATGACTTCAAACAAAATGAATACATTTATACACAGATCATATGCTAATACTACCACAGAAGGACAAAAAACTGTTTGTATGAATATAAATAACCATTTAAGTTGGAATAAAAAATTTTAAAATTAATATAGACTATTATATCATCGGAACTAGAAAGCAAACAAATTATGTTATTGAAACTATAAATTACTGGAAATACATAATAACATAAAATAGTGAACACATGTATGCATAATGATTAATTATAACAATGCTCCCATGAAAAAGTACCTAACCTGCATAGCTAAATTTAAACCAAAAGGTTTAAATTTTATCTGTTATTCACAATTTAAATTGAAAGTTTATTAACTGTAGCCCCTTAAAAAAGTTATATTTTATGTCGATACACTTTTTAAATAATACTAAAGGCGAATCAAGGTTGTGTGATTTTTATCTATTCTCCGCTCTCTTACCCTAGTTTCCACAAATCTTACTCCCCCTCCCCCGTAAGTATAGTCCAACTTCTTTAACGTAGGGCTATGGGAAAGAAGCAAGATTTACTGAAACCTTGTAGTGAAACCATGTTTTACTGAAACTATGTAACGAAATCGCGTAGCCTTGAGATGCCTATTTATTTACAAAGAATATAGTGTAATTCTAAACTGAAAAAATGAAGGGGTCACTAACTACTGCATAAAAGGCTTTTTGGCAGAGTCAACGGCCTGTATTTGCTTATGGCCGCTGGTTGAGCTTTAACAGGGTGCGTAGCCAGATTTTTCAAAAAAAAAAAAATAAGCACCTTTTAAGCACTCAAAAAATATTTTTAATAACTTTCCAAAAAAAAAATTCAGAATTAGGATCTGCGCAGTAATAAAGATTATTTTTCTATCGTTTAAAGCTCTTAATTTATAAACGTAAAATTAATAAAATTCAAAAACTTTACACAATCATGGTAATCCTGTATTTGCTTATGGCCGCTGGTTGAGCTTTAACAGGGAGCGTAGCCAGATTTTTCAACAAAAAATAAGCACTCGAAAAATATTTTTAATAACTTTCCAAAAAAAAAAAGAAGTCATAATTAGGATCTGCGCAGTAATAAAAATTATTTTTCTATCGTTTAAAGCTCTTAATTTATAAATGTAAAATTAATAAAATTCAAAAACTTTACATAATCATGGTAAAATAACTAATTTCGGATAAATATTCCAGAGAAAATCTAGCGTTTTTTTTTTTTTTTTTTTTTTTTNTTTTTTTTTTTTTTTTTTTTCAATTTAGAACGACAATCGACACGGTAAAGAAAAAATCTGTTTAAAAAACTTAAAATAAAGCACTTTTTTATAAACACAGAATAAAAAAAAGCACCTTTAAGGGCTTTTAAGAAACGTAAATCAAAAGAAGCACCTTTGAGCACTTTATAATACGTTACGCACCCTGTTTAATAATTCATTATACTTATTATTTTGCATTGAAAAAGCCCTTGTTTGA